CTCCCGGCGGCGGGGCCCCCCCTGCCTGGAAGGTAGGTCCAGTCGGCCGCTGCGCCTCTCGGCGGCCTCTCCCGCTGCCTTCCCCCTTCCCACCCAGCGCCCCCGCTCCCCCGGCCGCGCTGCTGTGGCCAAGCCAAGGGGGCTGCGTTTCTGGCTTGTGCAAGGGAGGCCAGAGTCCAGATGTGGAGGGCATAGATCCTAGACTGGGGGGGACCAAGGGTTCCATCGTGCTGGTCGGGGGGGGTTCTCCTATGGCAGGGCAAATGCTGTATGGGTTAATCCAGCTACAAGGGTGACGGGAGGGTAGGACTGATGGTGTGTCGTTGATAGGGTAAGTGTGGAGCTGGGACAGGGTGTGCATGGGTTGTTCCGGAGAGAGCACATGATTGTGACAGTATGCCTGTCTGCCCCTCTACTGTAAATATCTACTGAGCAATGCCTCCCAGCACCAGGCCTCGGCTGCTGCGAGTCCTCGCCTAAGAATCCATCTCCCCCCCACTCCCCAAAGGGTTTGGGTGAGCTCTGTGTTTCGACGCCCCCGGGGCCTAGGTGACGGGTGTGGAGATGAGGCTGTCTGATCAGACGCATCCCCCGGAAGATTTCTGCGGGTAGCCGAAGCTGCGTTGGCTTCGTTGTTTGCTCCCCGGAGACCCCGCTGCTGATCCTTGGCACTGCCTCCGGGCTCTCTGCGAGGAAAGCGAGCCAGCGCCCACAGAGCGGCCTGAGATCACCGGGTGGCCCTGCCCAGCGCCGGAATGGTAAGGAACCCGAGAGCTACGGCGCCGGGGCAGACAGCTCTGAGACAGGCCGTGCATGCCTGGACCCTGTCCCGATGGAGTCAGAGTCTGGTTGGATGGAACGGGAGGGACTGGGTTGAAGTTTCCTGCTTTGATTTCCCGGCTGAGATCATTAGCTCCTCTTACCGACCAGGCATTCATGGAGGTCGCGCCATTCTTAACGTGTGAGAAATGGGGCTTGCTTGAGCACGGGAGTCATGCAACAGGCGACGATTGAGCGTTTATGGGGCTCTGGGTGGGGATGCGGTAGGGAGGCCTGTGATGGAGCAGCAGGGTGTGAGCCAGGACAGCGGTGGCTATTTGGGGGCGGCGGGAGGCGTGGGGTGACAGCGTGGGCGTGAGACTGCCTGGGTTCTATTCCCACCAGCGCCTCAGTAGGGCTGCTGAATCATTTCTACCCTTTGCAGAGGGCGCTGGATAAAAGGTGCCAGAGAAACGCCACGTGGGGTTGTTAGCCTCGGTGACTCTCTCGTGTTGTCCCTGCACACCCTGACTGCAAATGGGGGAGCCTGGGGTGCTGCACCCTTGAGCCATCTCCTCCCACCTCCAATACACTCCATTTCCGCATGGCACTCTTAGGACAGCTGGTTCTCGTAGTCAGATCAGGAACACCTGCCTCCGCCCCTCACCGCTGTAGATTAGCCAGTGACCACTTCATTTCTGAGCCACGTCCTACCTCCCCGCACCAGTTCTGTGCCGTTCTAGCTGGGCTTTGCTCTCCCCCAGCTGGTGGGACAGCTGTGTTGTCCAGTGGACAATTTTGGACTTGCAACCTGCTGATGATGATTAAGCAGCTGTTGCAAAGAAACTCCGGAAGGGGGAGCCCTTGGATTTATTTGGGAACATGGCATCACTAAGTCAGAGGCTCAGGAAGGTCAGAGGGCACTTCACCCTGCTAGGCGGAGCAGCCTCCTGGCCCTGTGAATCCACGAGGGGTATTCTGGAGACCTTAGGGCCTGCTTGTCATAGTTAGTGAACCCCCATTATGCTACCTGCAATGGATGAGAGCTGTGGGCACCTCTGAAAATGAGGCTATTAATGTTTCCACCCTGGCAGGGAGTGTCTGCAGGGTCCCCAGCCGGCATGTGATCTGGAATAGCAGGACCCGGGTTCCTTTGTTCCGGGCCAGCAGTGAATGGGTTTCCCAGACTCACACTGTACCAAAAAGGCTGTTGGGAGGGAGGAAAATTATTCTGCTTCACCTCTGAGGATAGGACAAGCAGCAAGGGGCTTAAACTGCAGCCAGGGAGGTTTAGGTGGGACATTAGGAAAAACTTCCTGCCTGTTGGGTTGGTTTAGCATGGGAATACATTGCCTAGCGGGGTTGTGGAGTCTCTGTCACCGGAGACATTGAAGAGCAGGTTAGACAGACACCTGTCAGCGTGATCTAGATGGTGCTTGGTCCTGCCGCGAGGGCAGGGGGCTGGACTTACCTCTCTAGGTGCCTTCCAGTTCTAGTGTTCTAGGATTCTTTGTTGGACGTGCTGCCTCTTGGGTCAGCTGTGACCAGGGCCGGACTGAGCCATTCCGGTGCCCCGGGCAGACAGTTTAATTGCGCCCTGGGTTAGGGGAGGGCGCATGTGTGGCCCCGCCCAGCGTGTGGGGGAGGGCGCACGGACCTGGCGCGGCACCCCGGGAAGACAGTTTAATTGCGCCCCAGGTTGGGGGAGAGCACATGCACGGCCCCGCCTCTGCGCCGGCACGTGGGGGAGGGCGCACAGAGCTGGCATGCAGCCCAGGGCCATCCAAGGTGGGCCGAGTCTGGCCATGCAGGGCCCCGCAGCTGTGGGGGGGAAGGATGCTGCTGGTTGGCGCTGCGGGGATTAACACGGCCCCCGCCCCGGGTGGCCGCTGCAGGGTGGCCGCTGGGAGCTGCTGCAGCCTGCGATCCGGGCGCGCAGCGCCTGATGGCAGCACAGGTTGACGCCCTGGGCAGCTGCCCGGCTAGTCCATGTCTTAAACCAGCCCTGGCTGTGACACCAAGCCCCAGGACACTTATGGCCAGTATAGATCCTGCGGCATCTTTTCCACGAGCAGGGGTGTCCGTGCCAAATTGCACCATGGGCTCTGAATTCTGCTTCCTTAGTGAGGGCTGTGCCGCCTCCTTCCCAATCCAACCCCCCTAGGGTTTTGGGGGCGTTGGGATGCAAAGCCAGAGACTCGGTCTCTAATGTCTGAACAAGTACAGTGACCATGCTAAGGCGTTATTGTCACACTCCACCCCAGAGGCAGCTGCACTCCAGCCTCTAGACCAGGGCTTCTCAACCTTTTTCTTTCTGGACCACCCCACCCCCAACATGCTTTTAAAAATGCCACAGCCCACCTGTGTGACAACTGATACAAGCCAGGCCTGGCATTAGGGATGCCACGGGAGTCTCATGCTGGCTTTGCTTGGCAGCCCCCCGAAACCAGTTTGCATTCCCCAAAGGGACCCTCACGTCTAGACATAGACTATCCATCAGCTACAGCCAGCTGGAGCAAAGCCATTTCTGCAGGGCGACTGCCTGACTGTCAGCCTGGCTGCTTTACATTGTGTGCTGAGTTTTCTGGGGGGCAGGAAGGGGATTCTATGCCTTGCTCCCCCACCCACTCCTCTCGCTTCCCCTTTGCCATGTTAGTGTTGGCACCGGGACCGAGCGCACTGATCCTCGCTTCTTGATTTCATTTTGATTGGTAGCAACAAAACTGAACAGAGAGAGAGAGAGAGAGCAAGATGGAGAGCAGCCACCTCTCGCAAATACTGCTTCGTCATGATGCTGGTTAATTCTCCTCTTGTTCCGAAACAGACTGAGCCAGCAGCAGAGGTGGGGAGGTGCACACAGGCGCGCGCGCACACATGCACACACGCTCTGACGGGCTCTCTAAATCCACACTGTTATCACCACTCCATACTTTGCAGGCACGGCCTCTGGGGCTGGGAGATACACACACACACACACACACACACACACACGCCTGTCATGCTGTCAGATCACGGCAGCTCTAGTCGGCGAGGGCAGCCGGCTGAGGGTTCGCTGTGATCTTCCCGAGCCAGCGGCAGAAGGAGGGGAAGGAGCGGCGTTTTGCAGCCAGCGAGGGCAGGGGAGCTGTCCTCTAGGCTCCTGGGGCTTGTTGTTGTTATCATTTCACGGCTTGTTTTTCGGGCTGAGAAACCATGCGGGATTCCTGGAAGAGGCTGCCGTAGCCCCAGCTGGGTGAGTCGAGAGGCCTGTCTGCTCGTGCTTGACCCCTGCCATGGCTCGGCAGGGTTGAGGGGCGGGAGGAGGCACATTCCAGGCAGATGCTGTTCCACTCTGTGCCTGTGCCCAGGACTAACCCAGCCTGCAGCAGTGTGCAGAACCGGCCGGGACTAGCATTCAGCTGGTAGGTTGTTAATAGCATCAGCTCTCCCTCCTCCTCTCTTCCCTTCCTCCCCCTCTTCTTGCTTTGCTTTCTCCTTCCTTCCTTCCTTCCCTGGCTGTTTGTTCTTTGCTCTTTTCCCCCTCCTCGTGGGCACCTGGAAAGGGGACAGACTTGCTAAGGGAGGGGGCTTGCCTTCCGCTGCCCGGATCATCGCTGCTGCGTATGACAAAACGTGCATGTTCCGTAAGCGGCTTCCAAAACACGGGCCCCGGAGACGGCTGTGGTGCATGCAGCCCCTGGGGTGCGCTGGTGAGGTGGGGCAGGTGTGTTGTGCTGGTCGCGTGGCGTTCGGCCCTCGGGTGGCAGTGTGTTTAAGCCAGGGCTTTGGAGCCAGCCGGGCGCTGGTTAAGAAGAGCTGTCTGGCTGGGCTCTGCTAAGGGCGTCGTGCTGGGCTGAGCCGGTGTTACTGCTTGGAGAGGCTGCTTCGAATGTTTTGGTTTTAGCCTTTTTGTGCTCAGGGCATTTTCACGCAGAGGTGACTAAACTGGCCTGGCCCTGCGGCTGGACCGTAGGACACACAACTAGGGTTGCCAGGTGTCTGATCTTCAACCGGACAGTCCGGATTTTGGGGCTCTGTCCGGTAAAAGATTCAGATAATACTGAACATGTGCAATGGCCGGTATTTTCTGGTTTTCCGGCGGGGCGCCCGCGGGAAGCCTGGCGGGGGCGGGGGGAGTGGCGATCGGTGCTGGGAGCCCTCAGCTGGTTGCGTGTGACTTAGGAGTCACGCCGTGCTCCTGAGCGCTGTTCAAGCGCGTGGTGGAGTCACAGCCGGACTCACTCGAGCTTTGCTGGGACCGTGCACGGGATGGGCAGCGCCCTGGGATCTGCATGTGCCCGGGTTAGTCCTGCTGCCTGCTGGCCAGTTCTCTTCCCCCGCCAGCCCTGATTCCTACCGACCCGTTCTCCTCCTCCTGATCAGCCCTGGCCAGCACCACTGCCCCCA